TTTTTCTTTTTGTTTTTTTGTAGTTAATAGCATTTAACTATGAAACAAGTTAAAAAAAATTAATCTAAATTCACCTTTTTTATTTTAAATCCTAATAAATAAAAATTTGAATTATGAATGAATGGTGAAAACCATGAATGGATTTATTTTTTGCTGTTAAAAAATACACACATGAATTTTTTGCTCTTATTATTTATAGCTAAGCAGTCTAATTTGCTTATTTTGAAAATTATGGAACAAAAAAAAAATGCTTTTTTTTTATTAATATTAAATTGAGATCATTAAGACAAAATTTAATAAAAAAAAATTTAAACTATTTTATTGAATACGAGTACCATAGTAGAAAACCAATAAAAAATTGGACCGTGTTTAACATTATTGAAAAATTTTTAACAATATTTTCGCAATTTTAAAAATTTGAAATACGTAGCAGTAATCTTAAAATTTTAAATTTTTACAAAAACATTGTTATGTTTAGCTATGTAAAATTAATTAATAGTTATCTGAAGATTAATCTTTATATTACAATTAATAATAAATGTATTTAGCTATAAATTAATACAAACTCGTATTTAATCATTAATCTACTTTGATGATATAATAATGAAATTTAAACAAAGTGAGGCACTCATTGTTAATATGAATAGAAAATGTACATATGTATGTATATACAAAATGCAGATTTAAATCGAATTGGAGCATCAAAAATGAATGAATGCATTGAACAAAATAATAAAATATGTGAATAAATTAGTAGTTTGCAAAAAAAAAAAAAAAGAAAAATTAAATATAAAATTTGAATATTGTATTTTTTGAATTTTTCTTTTTTGGTATCATAATTTTGTTTACTATTATAAGGTTATCATACCATTAAAGATAATAAATAAAAAAAAAATCACTTTTTCGGCTATTAAAAATTCAAATATATGCAATTAAAATAGTTTTGCAAATTATTATATTCAATTAGCCTTCAACCATAGACCAATAATAAATTTTATTTACATTGAAAATAATTTTAAATGACCCATATAGGGAATTTATTAATAATCAGGAATTATACTATTGAATACATAATTAATAATGTTATATAGGATCCGATTTAGGTACAATACAGTTTTTTTGTTTGTTTTTGGAAATATTAAGAAATAATGATCTTATGAAATTATAACTATATGTATGTTTGTACATATTGAGCGGATTTTGGGGAATTTTCTAGTATGTCGACACATATTTCAGAATTTTGAAGAGTATGTTATAAAATCGTAAATTTATTATTATAACAATAATAATTTATTGTTGATTATAAACGAAATTGATGTACGAGAAAAAAATATAAATAATGAATTTTGTAAAAAGACTGTTTCTTTTTGATTTTATGAATTCTGTTTTGCATTTTTGTGCAGTCAAAAGCATATACATTTGTTTTGCTTAAATATGATCTTAAGTTATACACCTATGCTAAACCACAATACAATAGTAAACCGCAAGAATAAGCAAATAATAATGTCAAAGAATATGCAAATATGCTTTTGACTGCACTTGAAAACAACCTATAAATAGTGTTTGTAGCACGTTTTATTGTTACAATTCATACGTCATAATAATGTGCATTTTCCATTGAATAAAATTGAAGTGAACACAATATAAACAATTATATGTCAACCATCATACAAAATTATTGGATCCAAAGTTAAGTATATAAATTAAATTTTGTAAAGATATAATAATTAAACTGAAAATATCATATACATATATACAAATTTCAAAGTATCTAATTTAATCTAATTTTTATATTTATACTCGAGTTTGCGTGTGTCCGAATTATTGAACTTTGTACATTATTTTAATTTCATTAATTTCGTTAAATATTTTTATTTTGACAAATTTACTGTTGATAGTTGAGAGTAAAAAAATTTATTTATGAATTTTATTTTTTTTTTTTTTTTCAAAATTTTTTCGAATATCATTAAAATTAAAAAAAAAAAAGAAGAAGAAATAGAAAAACATCTTCAGATTTTTTGCAATTCATTTCAATTTTATTTTGAATTTTAAATTTAATTTGTATTGCATACACTTAAACATTTAAAAATAATAAAAAAAAAAATTTATGGCTAAATAGCGTATAGCATTATTGTTATTAATACTTAGTAATAAAATGTTTTGCTCTTAATATGTTAATGAATGCGAATTTCGTAATGAATTCAAAATCTCATCTTTTTAATTTTGGTGATCTTTTATTATACATTTTTGCTTTTCTTTTTTATTGATAATATGTAAATAAATTAATTTGTATTAATTAAGCAGCAAAAAAAAAAAATGAAGACAAAAAATTTATTAAAAAAAATTAAATTGAATTTTTTAAGAGCTTAACCTAATTAACTTTCATGTTTTCTTTGTATTTTTTGGTTTTTGCTTATATTTAATTTAAATTTTTGAAATTTAAAATAAATTTTTCACGTGTGTGCGATTGTATAATATGTGTACTAACTCTCTTCTTTATATAAATTAAAAAATAAATATTTTATTTCGAATATTTATCATCTAATGAATATAAAATAATTGCGAATTAAAATTTTGTTAAATTTGGGTTTGTGAAGTGCTTTGTAAATAAGTTAAAAATTTTTATTAAAATTAAAATGAATTTTTGGATATTTTGGTTTTTTATTTGAAGCATGTTACATAATAATAAATATTATTTTAAAAAAATTTCTATGACTTTTATATTATCAACAAAAATTTATTAGCATTGAAGGTTTGGTTTTTTTTTCCCATGAAATATTTGTTTTATTTAATTATTATATAATTGTACTAAGTGCAGTTAAAATATGGGCGTGTTTCCATTAATTAGCTCGTGCCTATACATTGTTTTTTAAAAGAGAGTCCTCTGTTTACATACGGCTAGCTGAATATAATTTATTAAAAAATGCGAATATTTATTTATTAAATAATAATAAAAGTAATTGAATTTTTGAAAAAAAAAATGTTTAAAATTTTGACATGATTAGTCAAAATTAGTACTGTCAAATACATATATTAGTTTAGAATATGTATAACACTTAAAGTGAATACAGTTTTGCTCTTGTTTATTTTCTATTGTGAATATTGTAATAAAGTGTTGTCCGTACTATTTTACTTCACACAATTTTATTCGATATTTTCGGTGGTTTTAGTTTTAGAATAGTCTTATGAATAAATATGAATTTAATATGCGATTTATTATTGTTTAAATTTATATTTTTCTATTTGAATTATTCTATAGATGAAGTTAATAATATTCAATTGAATGTGCATTTTAACGTCAAATTTTGCTTCAATTGCATCTTCTCAGTAAATTTCGAACTAAATTGAAAAATTAAAAATAATACTTTAGAAATTGACATATAAATTATCAAAAATAATACAAAATATAAGAAAAAAATTTAAATTGGGGATGGAATTGCAGCCAGATATTCAGGGGCAAAAAAATATTAGAACATTGTAATTTATCAAATAATAATTTATATTATTCTTAATTACGAAATTTTTCGTTCTTAATTTTGTTAAAAAAACAATGATTCTCATAAAAACAAAAAAACATCGAAATGCCTTTATATATACAATTTTCAATGTTTTTAATATTTATAAAACTACAATTATTCTAATTAAAAGCGCATTTATCCTATACATACGTACATACACATATATATTGTATGAATTAATAACTAATTTGTTGCAAGATTTTTCCCCCCAGTTGTAATTGTAATTTCGTTATGATTTGAATACAATGTAACTAAATTACAAATAATTATTGTATATAAAGAATCTAAATGTTTAAAAATTTAAAAATGAAACTCTTGAGAACCCCAACGTGTATGAAAATGAATAGAATTTTAAATTCAAGGAAAGGTGTTACAAAATCAAGTAGAATAAATTTAATAAATTTGAAAGAAATAAAAAATTAAATAAAAAATTCTAAACTGAAATTAAAAAATTGAAATCGAATTATTGTAGCTTAATTTTAATGAATATATCAATCAGGTTATTATGAATCATTTTCAATTAACTTGAAATGATTGCTATTGAATGATTCAATCGCAAATGCAATTAAGAATTCTTTTTAAAATTCATACATAATTATTATATTTATTTTAATGTAAATCATCACTATTATACGACAAAATATGCACATCTATATGAACATCTTTTAGCATCACTCGCATTATGACATAATTATGACACAATAAAAATGACGGGAATGCAACTATAGTTACGTAAACACGGCACGATTGAATGTTAAAATTAACACGACTTATAAATATATAATTACTGTAATAATAATGCACTTATGTATACAATAATATACAAATTAAGCACACTTTAAATGTGCGAATAAATTTTATGTTAATATTTTGTAATTTTTTGTTATTACTTTTCATGAGTTTGTTTTTCTTATTAAATTGTTGTGTGTATACTCTCCGTTAAATATCCGTAACATGATTGATCCTCAAATATTTAAATTATAGCAATAGATTTAATTTTGTATAATACATACATACATACATATTTTACTTTTAATATTTAAACCCACAATTATAATTAATAAAAATACAAGAAACAAAATCAAATTTAAATATTCAAAATTGCTTTAAAATAATTATAAAATTTTTTTAATTAATTCCATACACTTTTTAAATTGTCACTTAATAAATTTAAATGAAAAATTATTGTTCTTATTTTTTTTTTCTTTTTTTTTTGTAAGTTCAAGTTCTTTATAGTTTTTTCTAATAATTTTTTAAATTTTGAGATTCACTTAATATTCCTTGTTCTTTAATTTTGGCTTTAGTTCTTTTTTTTTTAAGTGTATAGGTTTGCAGGGATATTTCCCTATTTAAATCTCCTTAAAATATTAATCCATATGATTAACAGTGGCTCTTTTTATTCCTTGAATTTTTGTGTTTATGCCGAAGGATAACAACTTCTATTAAATTTTATTTTTCTTTTTTTTTTCTTATAATTCTTACCTTAGATTCTTAATATACTAACACGAAAAATGCGCTTACTGACTTAGTACAACCTAGAGTTGTAACTGTTAAACGAAAACAAAAGTTAAATTTATCTGTTAAAAAGTATTTATAGGTTTTGTTGAAAAATGTATGGTTTTTTTACCCGCACCAAAATGATTATATGGTACCTTCAATATAAAATTGGTGAGTATTTCGTTATAAGTGGGATTAAAAAGAAAAAAAAAACAAAAATCGTTTTTTATTATATGTTTTTGTGGTTGTTTTTTTAATATGCTTATATTTACATATAATAGTGATGATATTGTGGTGGGAGAAACTTTGAAGTTTTTTTTTGTCTTCGTATTTTTATGGTTTTCAAGTTTTTTCTTTTTTGTCGTTTTATTTGTTTGGTTTCTTATGAGTCTTGTTGTGTATATATAGTTTTAGTTTTTCATCTACAAGTTGTATGATGATGAATTCATTAAATTGTAAGAAAAAAAAGCAAAAATATGTTTTTCAGGCGAAAAAAGCTCTTCTTCTTTTTTATAATGTAATTATTGATTTTCTTGTAAGATTAAAATATTTAACACAAAAAAAAATCAGAAGAAGAAAAAAACTAACAAACGACAAATAAAAAAATGCAAAACAACAAAAAAATTCACCTAGAGATGCGCACATACACATAGAAATTTTTTAAAAAATTTTAAGATTTTTCTTAAGATTTATTGTTTTTATAAATCAGAGACGACACTTTTGATAAGCAATAGTGAATTTGTGTTTCACGATTGAGTTGAAGACGTTTTTCCACAGTTTTATATTTAATTTCACATAAATTACGCAATCAGGTACTCCGATGTCCTATTCTAAATTTTAATTATTTAATAGGTACCTGTTCCGATTTGTATACCCTAGTTACAAAACTAAATTACGTAACTAAATTTTTGATCTTGTTTTGAAATTATAATCTATAATCCTACATTGTGATTGAATAAGCAAAAGACAAAGTTGTGAATTAAATTAAAACACCATTGTAAGAAACAAGTGGTGCTGTTTCCTATCAGTCTCTTACAGAAATTTATAATCAACTAATTTCCCCTCATATCTAAAGAAATCAGTTGTCGAAAATTTAAATTGTTCTGATTTTTAGAACGGCTTCAATTTTATTTTAGTAAAACTATACATTACAAAGACATCAAAAATTTGTTAAAATTTTAAATCGGTTTTGCCAAAATGCTTTGACATCTATTTGTGTATAAGCTAAAATTTTATACACAAATAGATCTTTAGGGAAAACTTATTTACAAGTAATAGCCTCTCAAAGACCTATAAAAATGCCATTTTTGGATTATTTATTGTAACGGCATCAAAAACCCAGAAAGGTAGTAGCTATTTATTTCTACCTTGGTGCACTATACTTAATCTCTAAAATTAATCGTTATCTGAAATTAGTTTTTTTCAAAATGTTTATATTTTTCTTCTGAAAACGGCAACATATAGAAGCAAGAAATTCTTGCACCTTTTCCATATTAATAAATAGTTTATTTTATTAGAAGCAAATTTTTTTGTAGCTCCATCCCCTCTCAAGTTACTGCCTCTCGAAATTGGTGGAATTTTCGCCGCTTTATATTCCCGAAACTGCAAGCTTTTCAGAATTTCTATAAATGCAGAAAGCTAACGGTAAATCAAAACACGTAATTATTTTTTTAACTCATTAACAATTAAACCATAAATTCGAGCATGTAAACACCTCTTTCAATTTTTTTTTTTGCCTCGTCCTAAATGTATGCAATATTTAGTAGTAATTTTAATAATGTAATAGATTGTTTTTATAAGCGAATTGTTTTGACAAAACTTTATTTTTTTAGTCCACAACAATATGAATGTGATGTAATGTGCGCACCAAGTTTAAAGGTGCGATTATTAGTTTGGTATGAAATTTTGCAATATTTTGAGCATAAATATGAGATTAGAAATTAAAAAAAAATTTTTCTTGCACTTTTAAGGCAAATAGCTACATCCCTGCTCTATTAAACTTTTTTTCTAACTTCAATTTTTGTCTTTATTGTAAATTGCTAATATTTCTACATAATAGAAGAGAAAAAAGAGGAGATATAAAAAAAAGAAGTTTTCGATATCGCACTAAGAGAATTCGTAGATTTATCAAAGGGGTAGTGCGGGAACTATCATTTGCGATAGGTCAGAAAATAATTTATGCAATTAGAATTTTTTCCTTTTTTAGTTTTTTTTTTATATTTTTTATTATTATTGTTTGTTATTTTTTTTGTTAATGTTTTTTTAGTGTAATGTTGTACCTATTATCTTTTTGTTTCTGTCTCTAAAATACAATATATTTGTTTATACGTACATTTTTGTAAGAATATTTGTATGTATGTATATATGATGTATATATATATTATTTAATTTTTAACAGCTAATTTATCTTGTCGGTTGATTGATCTGAGAAGTTATTGTTATGTTCTCTAAAGATTTTATAATTTTTCATTTTTTGTTTTCTTTTATTTTGTTTTTTCTTTTTTTTTTTTTGGTTGGGTTGAATAGCAGTCCATTATCTGGGGTCTATTAAGGCTATTGCCCTTGCAACTGACTTTTGTATACATACATATTTATATAAGTGTGTAGATGTGTAAAGATTTTGTTAAAGAGTTTTTTTTTTTAAATAATTTTAATTTGCTAGTTTTTTCTGCTTTTGTTACTTTTGCTGGAAAAATCTATTCAAGTAGAGGTTATTATAATTTAAAATCTTGTTTTTGTTGTTTTTTTTGCAAGAAATCAAAAGCATATTTTCATTAAAAGAATAAAAAGAGTTACAAAACACACAAAAGTAGTGGCGTACTTTAAAAGCAAAAATTAAAAAAAAATTCAAATATTTACGAAAAATAAAAAGATTATCGTGTTTTTTTTGTTCTCTTTTTATAGTTGGTAACAAATTCCAATAGATTTTAATATGAATTTCTTCACAAAAATTAATTTTTCGGACATTATAAAACAATCAAAAGATTTATGACTAAACATTCTAAATGACAAGAGGAAAAAAATCATTCTTTATTTTCTAGTTTTGAACTTTTTGTTTTCTTCTTTTAAGTCTTCATCTCATATTAAAATATTCTTGTAAGACGAAGAATAAATGTTCAGCCAAAATTGATTTTTTACAAGTTTCTATACAAAATAATCTTAAATGTCTACATTAATTTTATAAATTATTATCAAATGTAAATTTGTACACGGAATACGAACAAGCGATCGTACAATACAATTTGGGTTTTAGTTAAATGTTATTGATCCTTAATAAAAACTAAAATTAATTAATTCTTAAAAAATAGATTTAATGAATGACATTTAAAGATCTAATCAATTTACTGAAATTTGAAAACGAACAAAAAAAATTTTGTGGTGAAGGCTAAGGACCTTTTTTACAAGTATTTGTACTATTGAAAAAATATACAAAAAGCGTAGAATTCGATAAAATATTTGAATTATTTAAGTTCGTATGAATGTGTAGGTACATAAGCGCCTGCTTTTTTGTATAAAAATGTCATAAACAATTTTTTACAAAATTAAAATCATTTTTCTTAAACTTTACATAACAGAAATGACGTCGATTTTTTTTTAATTTAAGGCTGTAGTCCGTCATATTTTCCTCTTTGAACTTTTTTAAATAATGTGAAGGAGTTATAAAATTTGAAAATATTTGAAGAACATTATAGGTAAGAAATTATAGGCTTACTTCTGTAACTTTGACTTTAATAACTCCAATTTCTCATTTTTGAATGATAGAACCTTGTAATTCTAAGAAAGCCAAGTGTAAACTTGTAAAACAGTAAAAATACTCTTTTTACTTTGTACACATCGATAAAATGTGAACATTTCCCAGTATATGAATGACTTGTCTAAAATGATCACGTCATTCACTAAATAATTTTGCAAATTACTGTAATCTGCCATTAAGCAATTTTCGCAATTAAAATCTTTAAAATTATTTTAATAAAATGGAAAATTTAAATAATTTCTTCGTCTTTCATTTTGTCAGATATAAAAATCAGCGTTTAAAGAAATGCAAAAAAAAAGAACCAAAAGCGTTGGCAACGTATGCTGGAATTTATAATGCATATACTGGGAAACGGTCTTTATGCCAATCAATATGTCGCTTAAATACCAAATGTTTATTTTGCCAACGAATTTTATAACAACTATGAAGTGAGAATCTAAAATAAACAAAATAAAAATATACGCGATCTTCCGTTTTTTTATGGTTTCATTAATTTCATATAATTAATGAAAATTTATGAATAATTAAAAAATTTTAAATTAATTTTTTTCTTATACATAAAAAATGCAAATCCAAAAATTCCATAACATGCAAAGCTATTTTACCAGCCCTTTTAGAATTCGAAAATTTTTCTTTTATTAATTTGCATTTCCAAAATAGTTTCAAATAAATTTTGTAGTATTGAAAAATATAGATGCCATATTAAATAATATACGTACGAGTACGTACATACATTGATTATACATATATATATATTTAATTTAATTATCGAATTTGTCATGCCATTTCTTTTGTCGATTTTTTTTCAAAAATTAGCATATGAACTGATTTCGAAACAAGTTTCATAATGAATCAAATTAAAATACTTCATTTTGAAAACTTGTTTTTAAGAGACAAGTACCCAAAAGAAGGGAAGCAACTGTTCCAGTCGTTGTGTTGTTTGGCTAACAAATATTTAAAATATACTGAGAATTTTTTTCTAAATTTGATATTATAAAATAAGAAAATTTTATATTAAAATATTTTTATAAATATTTCAGCATAAATTATTTGGTTAATTGGTTATTTCAAATACAAAAAACAAAAATGAGAGGCAAAAACGAAAAAACAAAATTAACCAAAAATTAAATATATAAAAACTTCACATGGGAAATTATGAAAAGAACCAGTTATTTAACATAACTGGTCTATAGTATAGAAAAACAAATTGTAATAAACTGTTTTTTTACTCTAAATATTTAAAAATTTTATTTTCCGGAAATCATAATTAAGTTTCCGATTTAGTTCCCTTTGATGCTATTATGTGGCAATTATATAGTTCCGTTGAATGTGTCTCCATTGATTATTATTAATATAATTTAATAAATCTTATAA